TTCCAAAACTGGTAATAGCCTGGTGCTGGGGGACGGCAAACGTTTTTATATTATACCCAGTTTTAATTTTGCCATATCTTAATAACCGGATGTTGCGCTTTTTTGTAGAGATGAACGAGCGCGGAATGAAACCCCCGTTACCACTTTGCAGTCTATCTCCTGCTTTAAACTGGGGCGGATCTTTTATCGCTGATTGGCCATTCTTCTTCGTAGTCTGGGATGAAATTGCCAATGTTCCTGTCGTCGCTAGACGAATAACGGACCCTAGCATGTTGCTTTCCTGTATACGAGACGGTTGCTCAAGTGTCTCCTGCTCCCATGACCCCTGGGTATTCCATCAACAGAAGACACATTGCAAAAAGGACTCAATCTGTTCCGATTGCCAAGTTAACCCAGTACAGATATAAATATTGTGTGCGTAATCACTAATCCGCTGTAAAAATACCTGAAAACGTAATCAGCCGGCGATCGTTTATCGAGGATACCCATACATTATATTGGATGTATTTTGGCATTACGACTATTCCAGGCTGAAGGAGGACAGCATTACGGAAATGGAGTTACTGCCCCAGTTTACCCACACTGCAGCTAACTTTGAATAGTTGGGGATCATATCGAATCTTAACTTTGCAAAACTTACTAAGTCAAAAAATACCATAGAGTTTCCGTAAAGATCGATAAATTCACCCTCTCCCGCATTTTGCTGGCATTTGTTATAAGACATTGAATGTTAATAACTGTCTAAAACACTGGTGTTAGAGAAGCTTCGTGAAACGCTCATGTCCCACCGGTTATTGAATCGACCGGTTACCTGCGTTAACCGAACAGCAAGAAACACGATGCGCTTTGGTAAGTTTAAGCCATTGCACACTGGTTTCCGGCTGCCAGTCACCGGCAGTTTTTAGCGGCTTTCATTGGTAGCTAGTTGTTTTGTTAGGAGTGCACTTAACGTAAATAAAAATATGTACATGCATCGGCAATTTTTTTCTACTACTCTGCATGTGAAAAAAATCGAAACCGGTTTTCCCTTTGCAGAAAAACGGCGGCATGCTATTACTGCTAACCGCAGCCGTTCTGTAAATGCTGCTTTAGTGTAGAGAGCAATAATTAAAAAGCGGTCCAGTTTGCGTGAATCCCGTTGGTTTGTCTCTGTTTATTAGGTATCTAGCAATGAGCTAAATACCGAAAGAAAGCGTTAATGCTAAAAGCGAGGATTTTGTCCGAGCCACCGTAGACGAAAATCTGAGCGTTACGGGCGTCGACTGACCGGACCCGATATTTTTCGACATTTTATTGTGAAAAATTAACAAAGCAAAGCAGTTCTGAGTTGTGGACATTTGCGCGGCCAGTTTATTACAACAGTTTCAAGGTACTACACTGTAGTAAATCACATTGCTCAGTTAGATACTGTAATGACATGGGTTTAAGGGACACGAAAATGCCCTAAGTCTGCTTGCAAGCACCCGGGAGCTGCAGCTACGTTCAAATCCGTTCACAAACAGCTGTCGACGGTTAAAGTATTTAAAAATTCGTTTCAGGAAAAAAACTGGTGTTTTTTATGATTATTTTTAATAAAATTCATGTTAATTTTGCTGGTGAAGCGTCATATTGAGTGGTATCATTGTGATGGACAAAACGCATCGCAGGTCGTATGTCGACTGGGAAATCAGATATTACGTGAAAAGTTATCGGAGCAGCAATCTGTCCGCCAGAGAGTTTTGCAGGAAGAAAAATATTCCTAAGACTTGTTTGAACAGATGGATATCCAACGAGAAAATTATCGAGAAGGCGGAGAACAGTTTTGGCAATGAAAATATTCCCCCATCAGAAGGGACTTCGCCTAACGATTACAGTTTTCTCGATATGAGCTGTGAGCTGAATTTAGATGAGTCCGGTGATATTGAATTCTCTGAAGAACAGCCTGTGGTTTCACGTTGATGGATATCCAATAAACTCGACTATAAGCAGTTCTGGCTAGAAGGAATGATTTTAATAGTAATTTAAAATTAGGTCACTTCTATGCGCCCCAAAATTTTAGGGCGCATAGTTAATTTGCTATGCGCCCAAAAAATTTGAGGCGCCTAGTTAATTTGCTATGCGCCCCAAAATTTCCGGTCAAAATAGAAAAGCCAGTAATTCAAAACGTTATGGAGCGTTAAAACATGGTATCAGCGAATCCGTAATGTTGCTGTGAAAGTGGTACAGACCAGGCAAATATTGCAAAAAAACAATGGTCATGCTTGTACTCGTACAACGCATTACGGCACTTTAATCCAAAACATCATAATACAAATAATTATGATGGCTCACTAACCAGGCATAATCAGATTTTAATTCAAAAGAAATTGCTGCAGTATTTCCTATTTAATCTGTCATAGACTAAGAAAAATGTAACGTTCCGTGATTATTGATTGAATTTACGAACTTTATTAATGGGGTACTTGTACTCCTTAATTTTGGTGAACAAAGCCGACAGATAGTTTTCTTTTTTCCAATCAGGCAATCTCTACGTTAAAATGTTGAAGCATGGATTCGTAATGCCTATAGAAGCCATAACGCATTGCTAACTAAATAACACATAACCAGTGCTGAAGAAAACCTAATTAAGCAAACAAATTTTGTTTTTAACAACTTGCCAGATGCAGAGTACGTTTGATTATAAATTTAGATGATAACTATGCCGAAACACAGATATACAAGTACAGCGAAGTTAAAAGTCTACCTTTTATGTCACTATGTACCGGTAATTGTTATTCTGATAACTATTTATCTTTAGAAAATCATATTTTCCAGTATTTGTTTTTTTCATATATTCCAATATTTATTTTGATATTCTCATATATATCTCACAATAAATGTCCGAAAAACTGTAAACACGGCTGAAACACCCTCTGGATCTGTTCTCGAGACAGTGGCATGGAATTATGGAAGCCGTCTCGGAAGCGCGGCCCAAATACCGGTAACCACAGAAAAACTGGTTGCAGTAAGCTATTAATATCGATAATCGCAAAAGAAAGAAATTGATGAAATTCACGGAAAACGAAATTTTTACCGGTTAAATAGATAAGGTCAACGGTGTGCCATTTATGCTTTTACAGCCTAAATACGAAACGTGCCAATTCAAGTCTTGTAAATCTAACTGGTAAATTAGCGGGGTACATATGTACTGTACGCATACACGAAAAAATGCATCAGATTTCGCGGACAACTCAAAAACATTGAAAAAACTTCTAAAAGCAGATAAAGAACGTAAAATAATTTTCCCGTTAAAAGAAAGTAATAAAAACGGTAAAAATTGAAATACAAAATTTTTAACTGCAATTTTTTGGGCGCATAGCAAATTAACTATGCGCCCTAAAATTTTGGGGCGCATAGCACTTTCGTTAAAATTAATGCAGCAATAGATTTACAGTGGGTACTTACTTACAAAATTCTTCGAATTAAAATACGTATCTGATAGCCATGCCACGGGGCAGGCTAGGAAGAAGAACGATTTTCTATGAAAATCTACGGGAGAAACACCGCTCGACTTCCGTAACGTTTTTATTAGTCAAATCAGTACAAAACCGTAATTGTAAGGAAATTCCAAGCTGTGCGATCATAAACTTCTCGACTAAAGTTATCTAACAAAACATCCAGCGGATCAGAACTTCAAAGCTCAGTGTTATCGCAACAGTGTAATGCTGATCGTATGTGTACTGCTCGTACCTGTCTTGACTATCGAGCCAAGTGCTAAACACCGTTAATGCGGTGCAACAGGTAATGATAAGACGTACGTGTAATGCTAATCAGTACTGCATATGCACGGGAGATGGTGACGTACTAGCGTCATCCCTAACATATCCAAATTAAATTTGCAGTTTGTTAATCCTGCAGTGAACCATTTTGAACGTAGCTGCAACCCCCGGGTGCTTGCAAGCAGACTTAGGGCATTTTCGTGTCCCTTAAACCCGTGTCATTACAGTAATAATGCGAACAAAACTACAAGAATACTACGCCGTATCACGGAAGTACAGAGTACGGTACTCGACATTGGGGTTCTGCTGCCGACAGCAGTCTTATTTTGCAAGTTATCTGAAGAAATCGACCGGAAGTTTGCAGATTTTAAGAAAACAAGCCTGTTTTTGGACAGCGTACGGAACAAACTTCAGCGTACGGACACTACAGTAAAAATGCCGTTCGTCATGTTTTTTTTTGTTTCTACGTTTGAGTTTGGAAATTATGCGCGGTAATGTTATGAGTGTGTTGTGCATAACACACTCATAGCATTACCGCGCATAATTTCCTATACATATGTATGGTCCCGTCTCATGTTAATTCGGATAAATTCTTGATTTCTGGTTTCTAAGCGAAGCATTCTGATTTCATTCTGCTTCTTTTCTGCTTTTTTGCTCTGTAAATATTGTAATGTAATATTGTAATTCTTTCGCAGGCTATACAACATTACAACGCAACTGCGTATGTACAATTACACACAAGAATATAGAACTACTGCACTCCAGCTGCCAGGTACAACATAATGTACAACCAAACTCTTCACGTTAACATCCACTAGAATTCTCCACTATTCACTACACCTGTACTATACATTTTGGTTTACCTATATCACACCGCTTAACCGCAACAGTTCACCTGGGGCTCATTCCATAAAGTTAGCTGCATAGAAATGGTCCACTTTACACAGAAGCATCGCACCGCACTATGTTCGGTGTGAAAGCGGATGTTTGCGTTGATGTTGTATGTTTTATGTAATGAATATGGCAAGCAGTGCAGCCCCGTTAATATTAAACCGGAAGTGACACAGCTTCTAGAACGACAGCAATAAGCACAGTGTAATAGAGGAGTTTTTGCTGGTGATCTCCCACCACGCGACGTAAATTCACGGTGCATGAATTGTTGATCGGCCGAAAATAAAACGATACGCTTAGGCTGCACTATTTTTATTTTTTCCGCTCTAAAAAAAGTACCAAAAGCGCCTGTTAATCGGACGACAAGGAAGATGCGGTTTGCTACATTTGCATAGTTTTGTTGTGTCAACTGTAAGCAAGTTCTCGTTAAAAGATGCGAATATTTTCGACTTCGCGCAAGACGGGCAAGCCGGGTGCTCACACATCACAGAAACATGGAACAAAAAACAGCGAGGCTGCAAAGTTAATGCCGTTATTAACTGCGAAGGAAATAATCAGTTCATGGCTACCAGCATTATAACGAAAAAAATAACTACTGTACTCGCAAAACGGAAAACTTACTAGCGCAAACGATCGCAAAGATGCGCAGCTCTACTTAGCATTTGCAGAAAACATCATATATAAGGACTCATCCGCTGCACGGTCCGCAACGGCAGACGAGGCTTTCTGATAACGATTTTTGCACCAAAACGCATTAACCATGTGGCCACTGATTGGCGCGGGACGTCCAGATTTGACCTGAACCAGTTCCATTTCCTGCAAAAAATAACGCTACACAATTGGGAGGGTAGAATGTGGGTGAATTTACAAAACTATACGCTTTATTACCGAAGCATTCTGTACTTTATACTGTGGCGCTGCTGCCGGCAGACGTACTCGTGTTATTCTGTAGGTTAGATGGATTCAGAAAATAACAACGGAAAGCCTGTAGATCGCCACCCTAATTTTTCTTGACCCCGTACGAGAGAAATCATTAATGTCACAGGAAACCAAGCAAAATGGCAAAATCATCTTACCAGGCTGCGGTTGGGGCTTAACTTTAAGCTTCGGTGGACCAGCATCGGAATCGGAAGAATTCCTCTTGGGTAATTCTAGGCCAGAACTAGCGGCATTTGTTTTCTTAGAATTCTCCATTCGGACGCAATTAAGAATGCCGATTATAACGGCTAACACAAGAAAATACCGCATTACCGCCATCGTGTTTCCAGTACAGTAAGCCTGAAAAGATGGAGTTCATACACGCTTTTGCTGACTATCCGCAAACAGTACACTGTTAAGGACTTTGCTTCTTTTTTATAATAACCATTACGGGCAGGTTGTTCTACTATAGCACTTTGACCTGAGGCTGGTTCCATAGCCACGGCTGCATAGGAATGTTGCAGCTTGGATAGCGCTAACAGCACCTAACAACATGGTATTAGGTCTGAAACGCGGATGTTTGAGTTTCCGGCATTACATGACAAGTAGCAAGCAGTGCGGTCAAATAATTAATTTACAGTAAGTCAACACACGTACACATGCTGTGCCGGCCAACAGAAAAATTCGAAAAACTGTTGAATCGAGTGCAGCTTATGAACTTGCAGGCGCCACCCAGGGCGGTTATCCTTACTGCATTTTCAACAAGCCGGCTGCCGGAATATAGTACCAAAGTCAAAGGGGTGCCGGAATATGAAGTTGATCGAGGTATACACTACAAGCTAAATCCAGCTGGGTGATCATGGTGTCATGTTTTTATTCTTCTTCCCGCTTAGCAGCTGATCGCAGAAATAAGTTCTTGCATTCCGTTATTAAACTAAAGAACTCCAACGTGTTTAGTCGCTAGCTGCCGCCGGGTTTTGCGGTCCGGTGCAGGTATATTTCGTTAGAAGATGTTGTTGCGCGGGAAATTAATTTCGCATACTGCCACGAGCGCTTTTGCTTTCCAGACATCCTTTACTGGACCCGTATCGGTATCAGCAGTCATGCGCAGCCCGTTTTGCATATTCAAAGATAACTGTGTTGTGAAAGTTTATGTTATCGTCCTAATGGTCTGTTTTTTCTGGCTCATTCCTGTGAATTATGCGAATACGTGGGTGGTCAACCACTGCGTTATCAACATTTTAACATTGTAGAGGGCTAATCTGTAAGCAACAGAACCGTGTAAACACCTCGATATCTCGAAAAAGAAGATTGACCGGTATGCACATAAAACAATTTAAAAAACAGTTTTATAAGAGTTCATGTAGTGACCTGTTCACTTCTTCTAGAAGCTTCCGGCTTGCATTATTGCTCATTCCTCCACATTCTCTTGCCTTTCAATATTCTTACACTGCCATCGTTCACGTCAGTAGGTTGTTGCTTACCAAGATAATCGTCGGGTTACGTAAAGATGAAAACATTAAAACGCGCTTGTAAGTTCTGTGTACTGCATATGTGGATACATATATGCATAAGTAGCATGTGGGTACTGCATATATATTTAAATGCGATTGTAAGTTTGTAGTTGCAACTTGTTCTGCATATGTAGCAGTTTCCGTCCGGATGGACAACTTTCAAGTTGCTTAAAAACGCGTTGTTTTAAAATAAGCGTGCTGGAGCGCGGACTTTGTTATTATGACGAACATTAGGACTCTAATTGCACCCCTTCATCTATTTATACTGTAGAAAGCAATACCGAGTAACCGAGTTTAACATATGCATGCGGCGGGAAAAAGCTCCTTTACAACAGTGGACAAAAACAGTCACATGGACGACGTTAGGTCACTGGTCAGTAAAATAGAATGGTAACCGTATTACGCATGCAACGGGAACAGCGATGGGATGACTAATTGTGAAGATGAGTCGATCGTCTAACAATAGCGCTGGGAAACAGTACGAATAGCATTAAGGTGCAAACAGGAAAAAGGGATGCGGAACATAGTACAAATGCTTTAGACAGTGTTTTTAGCCAGTTTTACTGGCATACTCTGTGCTACGCTTCAGGGGAGAACATATCCTGGTATCCGCATTCTGTTCTACGATCTAGTTCACTCCATGTCCAGTTCGACAGATTCTAACTGTCATGTTACGCGTGCACCGTGGAGTTGACGGAACCGGGCGCAGCGTACCGTCCTGGCTCGTTGTCCTTAGCTTGCAAGACCATCCAGAGATATGTAAAAATTCCGACGCCGAGCTGAAAGTAAAGGTACTTGATTTATGCAATTTATGCAAGTTTAAAAGCGATTGATGCGAGTTAATGAAACCTGTCCAACGTTAAGTCTCGCCAGTTACTGAAAAACAGTACCTGAAGAACAGTTGCTAGGCTAATTGTCACAAAGATGGCGTCAACAGGAGCGTAGAAGTCTTGTGTTTTCTGTAGGAAAACGTGGCATACATCTCTGAATGCCGGAAACTTCTCGAATTCCTCCAGGACAGTGATGTCCTTCGCCCGGTCTCGTATAGACTGGATCTAGAAAGATCGTACAGATTAGTCTATGCGACGGAATAAATACAGAGAAAAAGATTTCGTTTCGCTCTGAGGCACGAAATCGTCCAGCACGAAAGCAGGCCGCCCAGCCCAAGCTGGGTATCTGTCTACACCGTCTAGTCAGAAAAGACGGTCGGCCCAAACTGTCTCGCAAAAGTAGTCGGTTGCACCATACCGTCCTGCATTACAACAAGCCGTCGACAACCAGAAGACGATCGGTCCAAACCATCCAACGAGAAAAGACTGTCGTCTCCAACCGTCCAGCACGGAGAAAGTCCGTAAACAGGCACAAGAAAAGAAACCGTTCAGTACGAGCAGTTGGTCGACCTAAATCGTCCAGCCAGAAAAAACCTTCCAGTGCAAAACGACATTCTGGTACGCTGTCTCAGTGCTTTAGGTTCACTGTTCAACGAAAATAAACAAGCAGCTTCTTAAAAAATAAATTAGCCGGAGAGTACCTGATGGGAGCTATAAGTCGCCGCGGTACAGATGTCCATAAAGGTGATGAGTATTGCCAGGGGCGTCACGCAGTCCGTCAGATGTATCTCAGCCGCATGGAATGCGTATAGCACCAGGTGATTTCCACAAATAACACAGTAGATGAACAGAAAACAAAGTATCCACCGATAACGCTTATTGACCTCATTGTACAAGTGCAGCCTGCTTATATAAGTCGATTCCTGGAGAAGACGGGTCGCCTCAGCTATCTGACGTGGTAGAACCAGTGAGCGCTTTTGCAGATCCTTCTTCGCTTTCAGTTTGCTCGGTCGTACAAACATTACAAAACCGAAACTCGCAACGCTACCGGTGGCAGTGACCACCACATTGGCTAATGCAACATGGGTTGGTCGAAAATTTAACGCTAGTTGGAGGTGGATTGCCACAAAGCTGCCTGCCACAAGGAAATTAATATTGTAGCTGACGAAGGACCACAAGGCGTTCAACACGTGGAATGCTCCAGGCCAACACCGTATGGGAAACCACGGGACGATGTTGCAGTCCAGTTTGGTGGTGCTGTAGAATACAGCGGGCGCCTCCAGTAACACAGAGAAAACTTCCAGTTTACAGGCTGCGACGGAGCACACCATGCAGGTAATACTGGTTGCGGTCCAAATAATTCTGCTGCGTTTCGACTTCTGCTGTACTAGTTTGTCGAAGCGCAGCGCGAGACTGTGCACTTCTATTATTGTCCGGTACATCAGCGCCAGATTCACCAACGGTTGCAGATCGATGGAAATGCGGTCCGTTAGCCGGATGAACTCAATCAGATTCCACTGTTTGAGGGAGGTAACAGCATCAACTGTATTGGCAATACCGTAAAAAACAAGCAGTAGGAAAACAGGCGATGGAGCCAGGATCCACAATGGGTGGCGTCCGTTAACGGGTGGTATAGCGGCCCACCACAGCCACACGGAGCAGCACGCTCTAGCACAGCGATCCATTTCTAATTTTCCGTATAATACGTCGTAGGTAAACGTGGTCCGTAGCTGAATCGGCCGGTAAAGTCGCTTTATTCTTTTCGACTTTTTCAAAATCTGTTCCCGTCTTGCTTTGTATCACTGATCGGTATGATGCTGTTAAAGCTGCCGACAATACCAGTATGACAGATAAAACCAATAATATTCATTTAATCTATCTCACTTCTATTGTTGGCGACACACCGACATGAGCGGTTAGCACGTTTGGGAGTCTGTTTGTCATGCACACCGTTTTCGCGCTGTATCCACAGTTTGTTTGCGAACACTCAAGTGAGTGCTTGTGATGTTTGCTTAGATGGTGCTGTCACGCAACCCGAACCCGAGATTACTTATTTTAGGCTTATTCAGGCTTCAGTTTCTACACTTCCCTTTTAAATCGAGTTTTTCGGCAGTTCACGCGCAGTATCCAACCGTATCGATCCTCACAATGTTCGCGTTGAATACGGAAAGGTAGCAGCAGGAATGGCTCTTGCACTGGAAATAATAAATCAATCTTAATGATGTTTTGCGTTCAAATTAAATACCGAACCCGTAAGCGTACGATAATCACGCAGTGCGTCTAGTGGAAGGACGCTAATTATTCTGCCATTAAAATAACGAGTTCTTGTTCAACATGGAATACAAAGAAAACGAAATACAGAAGCACATTTTACTTAGACATATAAATAAACAGCTATGTACGTGAACGCACCTCAACATTCAACAATCAAGAAGTCAGTAAGGTTAAAAATGCCGCTAGCAAAACTGAGAAACAACCATAGTCACTCCTGTAATAATTTCTTTTTTTAAATGTCAACATCATCAGAGTCGCGTGCCCTTCTTAGTTTTTGTTCGTGCAGTTCTGCAGATTTTTGCGCTAGTTGCAGCTAATGATCGGTTTGCGCACGTTCGTTTCAACCAGATGCAAGTTTGACGTTTCATCGAAGCCTTGCTAGCCGCATGTGAGGAGCTGAAGAGAAAATGTATGCCATTGGTAGGCCGCTTAAGGGAAGTTGCCCGGTACATGGTACCAAATTCGTGTACATGCATGAATACATTCACTTTCGCGCACTCCCAAGCCCCTTTTTTCTTATATTATGACATTTCGTAGCCAAATGATTTGTATACATAAGCGTGAAACAGTTTGTGGGCGCAACATCCGGTTGGGGGTTTATGACTCGGGGATCCGGTTCGGGGATCGGTTAGAAAATTCCAAAATGTTTAAATACATTCTGGTGTACCAAAAGTCTAATTATGGACTGATCTTTTTCAGATTTTTCATTTTTCTCAAATTTTAGGATGAGTTTCAAAAATTTTAAAATTCATTGTAAAATTTCAAAAAATCATGAAAGACAGGGGCGGTGTAAAAACAATCTTCATGGCCATG